CCAGCCGCCCCAGCCCGGTGTCCGGTGTCCGCGCGTAAAAATAGCCGGGCCGTCCGGCCAGGGCGCGGGGGAGGGGGCACCGTGACCCCGGCGGGGCAGACGGCGGCCAGGCGCCCTCTACCGGGACGCCTGCCTCCCCCCCGCCGCCGCCGCTCTGCGCTTTCCTGGCATCCATCCCGCTCTGAGGTCTTCTTTCCCGCTGTCTCTCTGTCGCCCGAGAGCTCTGTCCTGCGCCTCTCCTAGCTTCCGTGTGTATGAAACCCTGAGCCCTCTGCTGGAGTCACATGTGTCCACACCTCCCTTCCTCTTTCTCTCACTCTCTCTCTCTCCCTCTCTCCCCCTCTCCCGGCTTCCCCATCCCCCACCCTCACCTACGTGTCTCTCGTTCGCTCGTGTGTCTTTGTGTCTGGCTATGTCATCGCTCTGGGTCTCTAGCTCTGTTGGGGACGTATCTCTGAGTATCTTTATAGGTCAGTTGTCTCTGAGGTTTGCCGCTCTGGGGATTCCTCCCAGTCTCTGTGTCTTGGTCCCTTTGGATCTCCGCCTTTATTTTGACTCTTGTTGGAAGGCGGGGGAGAGGGCAGGGGTCTGTCTCCGTTCATCTCTTGTCTCCCTTGATCTGTCTGTTTCTTATCTCTCTGGATCCCTTTTTGCTCATTATCTCTTAGCCCTTTCGGTCTCTGTCCCAGGGTTTCTCTGGACCTCTCCTTTGGGTCTCTTACTTTCCGTATATCTCTGAATGACAGGGAGTGTATGTCTTAGGGCTCTAGAGGACTCAGGGTCTCTGGAGTCACGTCTCTGAACCTTCTCTCCGACCACCACTCCCGGTCAGCCTCACCACTGTCCTGGTGGTTGCCCCTGGGGTCACTCTGGCAGCTGCAAACCACTGAACATGCGCACCCATGCCCTGTGCCCTCTCCATAGTCTGCCCAGGGTCTCCACCTGGATTCTCTACAAGACTTTCTGAGACCCAGAAGGGCCTGAGCTGTAGCCTTAATAGCGGAAAAGGAGGCGGGCTTGCCCGGAACAGGAGGGGTGTGGGTTGGGGAGATGCTGCAGGGTAACTCTCAGGAACCGAAGGGCAGGCAGGTGATGGCCTTCCAGTCACTGGTGTCCAGTGACACGGTAAAAATAGCCCCATCGGCTTGAGGGGAAGTGGGGATTGGTCACTTGGGGCTCCAGGGAATGGGGTTCTGGTCGCCCTCTGCTGGGGGTGTGGAGTAAGGCACTAAAGGTTATAACCCTGCTAATTCTGGCACTTTTTCTGTTCCTGTCTACAGTTCTTTCTGGGATGCTGTGTCTCCCACTGGATTTCTGTGTCCCTCTCTCCAGGTCTCTATCCTTCCTCTCTCTGGGTCTATGTACATCTTTCATGGTCTTTGACCCTCCCTGTCTCTGGTGTCTGTCCTCTTTTTTCTATGTCTCCTCTTTTCTCTTATTCTCTCTGCCCCCGCCCCCCTTATTGAATCTCTGAACTCTCTATGTTTCTGTGTTCTTTTTTTTTTTTTTTTTTTTTTTTTTGCCCCCGCGCCTCGCTCAGCCAGTGAGCGGGAACCGGTCTGTATGTGGGATCCGAACCCTTGACGGGAGTGCCGCCGCGCTTCCCAAGCAGCGCACTAGCACAGTGCACCACCAGGCCGGCCCTATGTTTCTGTGTTCTGTTCCAGGGCAGAGCCTTCCATAAATCACCCAGAACTCCTTCAGTGATCCCAAGTCTCTTCTTTGAGTTGAAGTGGCATCATGATGGGGTCTGGTTTTTCTGAGTGGCACCTCTTCCCACAGTTCCTTAATTCCCACCCAGCTTTGCACACCCTCAACCTGACCAGTTTGCAATCCTTCGGCAACCCCAAACCTTTTGGGGGTTAGGAAATCATGGCCTATCAAGAGCAGCATCTCCTATATCCCCCTCCTCTCTTGCTCTATTGTTGTTTGCTTGGTGGCTGGCCAGTACAGAGATTCAAACTTTTTTTTTTTTGAAGATGACCGGTAAGGGGATCTTAACCCTTGACTTGGTGTTGTCAGCACCACACTCTCCCAAGTGAGCTAACCGGCCATCCCTATATAGGGATCCAAACCCATTGCCTTGGTGTTATCAGCACCACACTCTCCCAAGTGAGCTAACCGGCCATCCCTATATAGGGATCCAAACCCATTGCCTTGGTGTTATCAGCACCACACTCTCCCAAGTGAGCTAACCGGCCATCCCTATATAGGGATCCAAACCCATTGCCTTGGTGTTATCAGCACCACACTCTCCCAAGTGAGCTAACCGGCCATCCCTATATAGGGATCCAAACCCATTGCCTTGGTGTTATCAGCACCACACTCTCCCAAGTGAGCTAACCGGCCATCCCTATATAGGGATCCAAACCCATTGCCTTGGTGTTATCAGCACCACACTCTTCCAAGTGAGCCACGGGCCGGCCCCTAATGGTTGACTTTATAGGTACTACCGGCTGTCATGAGATCCAGTACACCTGGTTTGATAGAAATTCCAGTCTGGGCCTGAGTCTTTTCATCAAACTGCACCTCATGCAATTCTACATTCCTCACCAGTCTCCTCTGAGTGGTTCTACACTGATTGGGGGCCAGATCAGCTGTTCTTGCTGTGCCCCAGTGTTCCCCTGGTGCACCCATCTCCCACGTCGCCCACACTGCAAACACTTTTCATGGGATAGGCCATGCTCCAGTCCCTTGTGATGACTCACCAGCCTCTGAGTGGCTCCTTTTTTTTTTCAGTTGTGGCTCCTCACTTCTATGTGGGTACCTGGAAACCCTGTTAGTGGTCTTGCTGGCCTGGGAGCCACCAAGGCCCTCTTCTCCCCTGCCGCTTCCAAGCACCTTCACCCAAAGGGCACAGCTGCAGCTTTTGCCAGCTCCTGCTCCTTGCACTCAGCAGCTCCAGCCTGGAAGCAGCCAGGATTCAAATTGGTTGGAGCAGTTTTTTCTTTCCGTCATCATGGCTTCTCCCACCTTCATGCACTCCATAGGTCTCTCCTCCTCTTCCGCTGATCTCTTGCAGCCCTAGCTTGGCTGTCATTGCTTTTTTATAATTGTAAATTGGTTGATTTGTAAGAGAGAGTGGGGACTCTGGGGACTGTCTATTCTGCCATCCTGACTGGAAGTCAAATTTTCTATTTTAATATCTTTTCTATCTTAAAAAAGAAAAAACAATTTCTTTGACCCTGCTTTACTTTCCTGCTACTATTACTCCTCTGCTTCCCTCATAACAAAATTCTCTAAAGACTTTTCTCTACCTGAGGTCTCCACTTCACTTCCCACTGTCTTGTCAAACCTCAGTCCTTATCTTATTGCATCTCTCAGCAGAACTGGATACATTGAACACTACCTCCTTTTTTTTTAAAAGATGACCGGTAAGGGGATCTTAACCCTTGACTTGGTGTTGTCAGCACCACGCTCTCCCAAATGAGCGAACCGACCATCGCTATATGGGATCCGAACCCGTGGCCTTGGTGTTATCAGCACCGCACTCTCCCGAGTGAGCCACGGGCTGGCCAACACTACCTCCTTCTTGAAGAACTTTCCTTCCTGGCCTTTCTGGGCATCACACTCTTCTGCTTTTCCTCCTGCATCACAGTCAATCTCCTTTGCTGGTTTTCCCCACTTTATCTGAACTCTAAATGCTGGAGGGCCTTGAGATTGAGTCATTTGAGCTCCTCCTTTCTCCATCTTCCCTCATCTCCTAGGTGACTTCATTCAGTCACATGACTTAAAATACCATCTCTATTCTACTGACTCCCAAATTTAGGTTTCCAGCTCCAAACTCTACTGTAACCATCAAACTCATATATTCCAAATTTCTTTCTTTTTTTAGTGGCTAGCCAGTGCGGGGATCCAAACCGTTGACCTTGGTGTTATCAGCCATATATTCCAACTTTTTTTTTTTTTTTTTAAAGATGACCGGTAAGGGGATCTTAACCCTTGACTTGGTGCT